TCGGGTTCTCAAATGAAAATCATATATATATATATATATATATATGTGTGTGTGTGTGTGTGTGTGTATATATATGTGTGTGTGTGTATATATATATTAGGCTAGGTTTTTTAGAACAAATGAGTAGGAATGAAATTTAATTCCATCACATATGCGATGGAATGAAGAAATCCGTGAATGGTGGAATCCATAGATTTGGATTCCAATCCATTTTCAAAATAAACAACTAAACAGAATGTGATTAACCGAATTGAGTCATTCCAATTCCGCATAGGATTCAAGTGAGCCAAACGAGTCCCTAAAGTGGAGTTATTGGGTCCATTTATAATAACAATGTGGTGGCAAGTTATATTTCGTATACCAAACTTTATTTTAATGTTGCGTTAGTAGCATATGGTGCAGATAAATAGTTTGCTTTAGAATTGGATCAAGAATGATACAGAAAGGCCATTGAATTGATGGAAAACGACCATTATAGTTGCTACGTTTGATCAATACGTAAAGTCTCGATTTTAGGCATGTTACAGAGCGGGTGAATTACAATTCTGAAACATTAGTTTAACCTTGAATCATGAGTTTGTGTGATTATTTTACAAGTCAACTAATATATAAAATTGAAGGTTAATATGGTGTATTAGCAAGATCGATTGAAAAAATAATTACACACATGTTGAGTTTCTAAACCCATATAAAGTTGAAGGGTTGGGGAGGGGTACATGCATGATCTGAAACCTTTTTTGATATTGTTGCTTCAAATTTCAATTTACTTCAAGAGAAAGATGAACTTTGAATTTGAATTTAAATTTGGGCTCAAAATAGGAAACAAACAAAGTGTCAAACAACTTTGGGAAGAACAAACATATTTTTTTCATGTAAATATGGCTTACTTAAATCTGAAACTTTAACCAAACAAATGGTATGTTTTAAGCATTTGTACATTACACATTATAATTTGTACTTGAGAGATTTTTGAATCTCTTGCATAGAGTGCGGGTAAGCGCTTACTAAGTCACATTATTTTACGGGATGAATATAACAAGGACCAAAAATCTTACCCGGTAAGATCGAGACAAGAAACAAGAGTCTTATTCGGTAAGTGAAGACGGCGACTCTTACTATGGTAATAGCTTATCAGGTAGATTATTGCATACGATGTTGTTTTCGTCGAGTAAAATCCTACCCGGTAAGTAAGTAATAATGTTGAATTTTACCGGTAAACGCTTATCGGGTAAGTCTTTAGTAAACGATCCCTATGTCATTTGATATCAATGAAGTGTTAGATATGGATGTTAAGATATTTATATAATGTATATTTGAAGTTGTTATATTATACAAGATTTATTATAAAAAAATTCCATTTTATTTAATTGTTTTGGACACATGAGAAAACATGTGAAATATAGTTTTGAAAATCAAAGAATAAATAAAAGAGATGACCGTCTCCTTAAATGTCCAAAGCCTACAAACCCAACCACAAGGATGGTGTCTGATTAGCTTGAGTTTGGCTCTAAAGATCAAGAGTGCCTGGAGGTTCCAGATTCAAATCCAAGAAAAAAATAAAAATCCTCTTGTGGCTATGAAGGTTTAAATACGATGATTCTGAGCTACCTGCAAAACAGGAGGTCACCCTGAAATTAGTCGACTCACATAACGAATTGGATATCCAGGTTAATAAAAAAAAAAATTCTACAAACCCATGTCAACAATAATGCAAAATCCTTGCTTTCTTTTGACATATCAATCACTTCCCACTTTAATGCTCACAAACTTTCAAATCCCATGCTTTTAATTTGTATCATATAAAAAGAATTTTATAGCTTTATATAACTAATACAGTTTTGATTCAGGCGGTGCTTAGTTAGAGGTATTAAGCAGTACTTAATATGAACAGAAAAAAAAATGTTTGACTTTATCTAATATAATAAGCCTAATAACCCAGAAGCTAAAATTTTCATTTCAGGTTAAACTATTTTCATATACTGTCATTTTCATTCTCATCTTCATTTCCCTGACAGAACTAAACGCCCCCTTAACAATATCAATCACGTTATGTATTTAATATGATACTGATTTAACTAGACTTGTTTACATAATCATGATGATTTCAATATGATCTAAAGGTCAAAGGAATGGATCTTGATCTTGCACTTCTCTATTGCCTAAAAAGAAGTAGGGATGTGTTATAAACTTTGTTCTTAGAAGGACCACACTTGCATTTATTCATGTATATGTATGCATGAATTAAATGCCATTTTCATGTAATATTTCTTTTCTTCTTTTTGCAAGTTGAAGCATGTAATAAACTCTTTGTTGCAAAGTTATTAAAATACGACCCGACACTTTTAAATTATTTTTATTTATTCTAATGCGGTGACTCCGGGCTATCTGCAAAGTAGGTAGTCGTCCTGGGATCAGTCGATTCACATAGCGGGTTGGATATCCAGATTAATATTAAAAAAAAAAAAAAAACTTTTATGTTATTGGAACCCTTTTGTTCTACAAATTTCTCCGGACATGATTACGACGCTGTCGTTATTGGTCAACAAAAACCCCAACAAAGGGGCGTGCCACGTCTTCCTCTCGATGTTGACTTCCATGTGTACCTGCCTAGTCTGCTTGGGCAGCTACATGACAAAAATCCCCTTCCACGTCAGCTGCGTACATCAGTCTATCGCCGTCGTATTTACTCCTCTTGTTCCCTGACATGTGGGCGTGGGTCCCATCCGTATATCTTGTTTTTCCCACATTTCTTGCCGCTGATTTTCTATCTACCGTATTTAGGTTTTATATATTTACACTTCAGTCCTTCTTAATTTGGTGATCTCAATTTGACCACAACATCTTTTAGACATCATAAACCGAAAATGATGGAAAACACTTTTCGTTTATTTTTTGACAATCTTTTTTCACGGATTTATGAAAATTTATCTAAGAGTTTCCATTTTCTACGGTCAGTTGCAAGATCGTTGTTGAATCATTTTGGCAATTATGTTTTAGAAGTTATTAAATTGGTATTTCTTCGTTTTGGTCCACGTACGCTCATGGTCAGATCTACTTTTTGCTCAAGGCCGGATCTACTTTTTGTAAATTTGCTTAATGACCCATCATTTTGTTTTATTGTACACGATGGTGCCACCACTTGATAAAGATATTTGGATCCGCCTTTGCATATGCTTAATTTCGTAAATTCGAAAATGTTATCCGGCATATTCCTTAAAGAACTAGACACAGGCAGGAGAGGACCTATGAAGGACCCAGGGGGTCCCATGCACCAGCACAACCGATTTCCTCAAGTAAATTCTTTTGGCGTATGAAAGGTGCAAACACTAAACTCTGAGAGGTGCTCCGGGATATTAAAATACAAAGATCATCCACTAAAAAACCGAAAAAGTCACTCAAAATCCACAAAAAAAACTTTAAAAAGTCTCAAAACTCAAAAGCAACCAAAAACCTAAAGAAAAAAATCCCACGAAATGATGAAATTCGCCAAATCGAAAGAATTGACTTTTTTCGAGGTCAAACGATGTTGCTTTTCCACATAATCAAACCACAAGTTTAGAGGCCTTCAATCCACATTAAAAGTGCACCCGTTTGTCAAAAATTATGAATCCGTCGCTTGACACCGTTTTTTCGTTAAAAAACATATTGTCCTGTAGAAATAAAACGTAAATAGACGAACATCTTAACGAATATTTTCGATTACCTTTACTCATGGCCCTATTTCTGCCAAACCATTCTTCAAATTCAATGCGACTTTAGGCGACAATAGTACAAAAGTTGAGGGGGGGTATTTAAACCAATTTTGAAAATTGAGAGTGTAAGTGAAAATAAAAACAAGGGTAAAATGGTAAAGTGAAAAGAGAGTGGAATGGTCAGACGATATGTAGTCTTGTTGTGTTGGGTACGATCCGTGAAGGGTCCTGTGGCTGGCAAGAAATGATGGATGAGGAATGGCAGTATTCGGTTTATGATCCATCTTCAACTGTTCCAACTACCCTCTTTCCTAATCAATGCCCCATGCACTCTAACAACCATAATCAAACTCAACTAACAATTTAATGATACACCTTTCGATACGTAGTTATTTCACATTTTGTCTAAGGTTTTTCTGACGCTTATTGCAAGCTAGTTCGGATGCCAATGGTTATTCTCATTAAAAATGGTTGTATATGTGTATGTGTATGTGTATGTGTGTGGTGTCTATATATATATATATATATATATATATAGAAAGAGAGAGAGAGAGAGAGATAGAGAGGTGAGTTTAAATAAAAATAGAGTTAACTTACGAGAATGAAAAATTGCTTATAATGCATGTGATTTTTAGAGAAAATCACGGGTGATTAATGAACGATCAAACCTCCAAGTTTGCAAGGCCAAGTGTGGCATTTTTAGGTTGACTCTTGTAAGTTAACATAGTTCTCTTGTAAGTTCCCTTCTCATATTTTTTCACCTTAACTCTCATTCTTACACGATGTTTCGTCTATAAGTGTGTGTGTATATATATATATTGACAATTAATGAAGAAATGCGGTGGTTATTAATTGGAAAAGTAGTTTAAAGGGGACATGATAGCCTAAAAGGGAAAGTTAGAAGTTAAGCAGATAGAGGGTGGGTAGTCTCTATGTTCTTCCTCCATTTGTCTTGATTAATATACAGACAGATCTCACAACATTTTTAATTGCAAGCTCGGACAGTTTTGTCCCTTTCCATCCATCCACATTATATTAGCTTCTTCATTAGTATTTATGTATTATATGTGCATGCAAGTATATATATATATATATATATATATATACAAGAACTGGAACAATTAGAGGTAGATATATATATATACAAGAACTGGAACAATTAGGGGTAGAACAGGAACAGGGAAACTTGAGCAAGTGGAAAACCATCATGACGTGGGTCCCTATCACCCTCTATATATATCACACATACACCATTGCTATCTTCCATCATATCATTCATTCAGCTAGTGTGTGTGAGAGAGAGAGAGAGAGACCTGCATATATATATAGTGATAGTATTGATATCTAAACTCAATGAAGCCCTCTCTGGTGGTCACTCTTTTGCTTCTGTTCACTCTTCTTTATGAAGCTCAAGGTATGTACCAACATACATACATATATAAATATATACACACATGCATGCACATACATGTGTGCATACACACACACATATATATATATATATATATATATATAACCGGAGGTTCACATGAGAACACTTTCATTTAATTAGAACACGTGGAACCTAGTGATGTGAGGGCGATTCGGCCTGTTGAAGGTTGCACGCTTCTCTGATTTAGTATCACATGTGATGGACTATAGTATCACATTTGAGTATAATAAAAGACTGTTCTTGCATTTTCTTAAAATGAAAGTGTTTTCATTTGAACTCTTATATATACCTTGTTGTATAGTTGTGGGTTTCTTTTGCTTTGTAATATTATGGTATTCTAAATAAAGTTGCTTTTCAATGTGTAATTGTTTGCAGGAACAAATAGAAAACTCGTGACAAAACCTATATCTTCTAGTACTACTACAAGTGCTACCCTCATCCCTTCCAAGGTTGGTCATTTCTTAAGATTTTCACATATTCTTGACAAAATAAAGAGAGTCTTGTTTTGAGTAACAAATTTTTAATAAAAAATTAAAAAAAAAAAGACTTTGAGTTTGGTTTGAGCTTGGCTCCAAAGGTCAAAAGTATCTAGAGGTCCCAGGTTCAAATCCAAGGAGGAATAAAAATCCCCTTGTGGCCACAGAAGTTCAAATGCGGTGACTCCGGGCTATCTGCAAAGCAGGTGGCCGTCCTGGGATTAGTCGGCTCGCATAGCGGGTTGGATATCGAGGTTAATAAAAAAGACTTTTGATGTTATGAATACGAAATTGATAGAATTAATACATAAAAGACTATTGAACCTCATATGACTTTATTTCCATTTGCAGAATCATGAGAATGATGGAAATACGAAAATGAAATCTATGGGAGGAAATCTTGCAATTAATTCAACACCAAAATACGGCAAGACAGAGGGTGGAGCGCCACCACATTACCCTGATGTAGTAGACCTAGCTGGGATGGATTATTCTCCGGCTCGGAGAAAACCACCAATACATAACTAATTAAGGTTAAATACATAAATTTAATTTAAATAAATATATTTTGGATTTTGGAAGTCTGTAGAGAAGGCAAACGCTTTCATATCTCTCAGTAAATTGTTCATGATTAATGTTTTCTGGTTTAAGATAGGTATCTTAGGTGTTGAAAGAGAACGATTATGTACATATTGCTTTATGTTATCGTCTTAATTATAGTATATCAGTCTTGGAAAAATCATCGTATATATATATATATATAATGTGATATTTATAATCAAAAGCCCTTGGTGAGCTTTGTAGGCCTTTGTTGTAATAAAATGTATGAAATCAGTGAATGTTTATATATAAATGATAAGGTGAAATCATATGTTCTCTGTGATTTGTTGTTTTTCTTGGATTGAGTTCTCACAAATATTTATTGCAAGAAAACCCTTATAATATGTATAAATGTTAGGTTTTCATCCCTCCCACTAACGAAAGTGCAATTTCAGCCGTCAAAAGTCATTTTACTCTTGATTTAATTATTAAGTTATTATCTCTCGTTATATGCATATATACGGGTTGGGTTCCCGTGAGAAGGGAAGTTATGGTAAAAAACGTAAGAAGAGATCTTTATCATTGGATCAATTATAATTGAACATCAACACTAATAAAATACCCTTCAAGAAGGATAAGGCTAAGCGGAGCAAAAAGGACCTTGTTTCACTAATAGCTGGAAAAGGAATACGTTCTCCAATCGGCATGTGTTAACCATTTATTTTTGGAGAACCACAACTAGCTTTCAAGATATTGAACTTTAAGGCCTCCACATGTAGCTGTGAGTTGGTTCGAGGTTGATTTTTATTTAGGGTTTCAGTTTGATTTAGGGATTAAGTTTGACAGAGAGACATAATATTATATACAAATTGATTTAGGGTTTAACATGTTTGTGTTCAATCCTTGTAATTATGTTTTGGATTTTGTAGAAGTGAACGACGATTTTTGTGATAATCAATTTGTTTTGGTTTGTGACTTTGTGTATCCGTTATATTGCTATCGGGGGGGGGGGGGGGGAGAGAGAGAGAGAGAGAGATAGATTTCTAAGCGTGCTAATTGAAATCTTTATAAGACTTAATTTATAGGATCAAAAAATAAAATGTCATATCTAATGACGTTGCAATAAATTTATAAAAAACTTTTCATCGTCGTTACAAGTTTTTTAGGACCTTTTATAAGAATGCATTGTATGAGCTATTTTATAGGATGCTATTTGGATAGATATCATATAAAATCTAGTATCCCATAAAAAGATGAGTTTATAGGACATTTTTTCAAAATTATCTTATAAAATAGCTAATGCGACGCTTTGTAATTAGAGTGTACTAAATTTTTTGTTAAGAAGCACAAAAACGTCCTATAAACTTATTACAATGTCTATGACGTTATATTTTTTGATTCTATAAAGTAAGACTTATAAAACAGTCCATTGAGATGCTTATAAATTGACGACGTCCTATAAATACAATGTTATTATAATGGTAATTTGTAATTTTTGAGAAAATAACTATTCGACTAAGCTTACAATAGATCTTTTGACAACTTCAATTTAAACTGTGTTTTAACAATTCCAATAATTTTTTTAGTTTGGTCGGTAAATAACAAAAAAAGACATGAAGTAACGGTTGTTTTACGCAACTAGGGGTTGTTTATCAGACACTTATTCATGAATGGACCTATAGTGATGTCAACGGTGACACGAACCATCACATTATTTCTCCGTCGAAGGGTAAAAAAATGTAAGTTCGTGAAAGATGCAAACGTATTAATTTGTTGTGTGTCACCGTATGTATTTTGAAACTACAATGTGAACAAGTTTTCTTCGGTAGAATTGGTTTGCAAGGCTTTTATTCCACCTCAGACCCGATGAACTGATAGGAACAAGGAAACAAGAAATTACTTTTACAGATGTTTAAAAATAAACATGTAACATAACCTTCCATTGGCGATGACAAATTGGCCCACGTGCATTAACAAAACTCATTGAATTTGTGGTGCCACACACCCAGTGACGGACCATTGTCCTTCGTACACTCGTTCAATTTATTTTTGTAAGTAGAATCTTTTTAATGTATGAAAACTGCATCCGTTGAGCTTTGAAGAATACTACGAGTTAATAGAAATACAAGGAATATCAACCAAAAAACTTAAAAAAAGTCTCTTGAAATCAACCAAAAAACTTGAATCAATCTCTTGGAACGGTGGAATTCAGCTACAAACTCATCGGACGACTTTATGTGGATCTGATCCGCCTTAAAGATACATCTGCTTGACGAAAATCCAAATCCAGGATCCGCCACTTCACACAACTTACTTAGACCCATGTTGTTCACTGAGCAACTGAAATTGCTACATAAGAACATCTTCAATGCATAAGTTTTTATGACTTTTACTATTCATAAAGAGTCTTTGTAAACCTAGATGGTAGCTTTTCTTAACAATTAAAATTTCATTTTAGTCCCCTTATTCATTTAGATATTCTTTTTACACCTAATGAAATTTCATTAATTAATTATACTTTTATAATTTATTAAATATTTAAATCAAAATTGAATATATTTTTTGATAAAATAAATCGTTAAAAAGATTTTTTCGAGACGATTAAAATAACATTAATATTGGATACTGAAAAAACATATGCATTATAAAACACTAGAAGGATACCTCCGTACTGCAGCTAGATACATCTTGATTTTAATCTTTTGTTTTATTCTTTATATCAGTCGATGTTATAATATGTTCTTATGTGATTTTGAAAATGCAACAATGTTTTTATTTTTGAATAAAATATAAATTTGAAGACATCATAAAAATTTGACAAAAATATATCGATATTAGTATCAAATTAACTATTTAAAATTTTTCATTTTTGTGTAATTTTTTAATTCAATTTTTTGATTATAAATTAATTTAGGTTTAATAACGAAGTAACTTATATTTGGTTTAATAATATACTTTTTWTATAAAGATAATAATTAATTATTTTGTTAGAATTCGATAATTATTCTAATTATATTTTAGATTTTTTATATTTTAAAATGAGATGTTTATCTTTCATTTTATTATGTTTATCCGCAGTTAGTTACATGAATTCAAACATGGAGTTTTATTAAGTTGTACTTACGCACAATTTACTTGTAATCTTGAATTTTAAGTAATATATATCAATAAACAGTACTTCATGTATAAAAAAATAGTAAATTTTTTTATCAAATGTTTTATAATATAATATAGATTTATATCTTATTTATTTTTTGAACTACATAATTGATATTTATCTACTTTTATTTTTGTAACTACATAATTGATATTAAATATATTTCTATTTTCGAGAAATATACAATGGGTTTAGAGCTACTATTTTAATATTGTTTATTGTAATATTTTTAAATATTTTAATTTTAAATATTAAGTAATTTTTGTTAATTAAATGAGGAGTTTTTATAGAACATTTTAAATAGACGAGGATATATTATATTGTAATCGATGAAAAAGGTTTTTGTATCGGAGAAGATATGTAAATGTTAGTAGAAAGCTGATGTGACAAAAATAAAAAGTCTTTTAATGACGCATGCATTGTGGATGTTGTCATTAACATGACTTTTTTTAGCATTGGATGGAAGGGTTTTTTGTAGAAACTTTTTTCAATCTTTCATTATGTTTTCATTAAAAAGTCATTGAAAAAGCTTTTTAGCATTTTGGTGTAGCTGAAAGAACTACTTTCGGTTGAGGTGACATTTTGGCACACCGCAAGAACAGTGAGCTTTAGCGACGACATGCTTTAGCCACAAGTTATAATGACGACATGTCATTGCTGTAAATCGTTTGTGGTGATAATTGGACCATTTCCAGAACGGAAGACTTTTACTATCTATACTATATTATAAAGCATTTGACAAGAACTCTTAAAAACCATTTTTTATACATGAAGTATTGTTTATTGATGCATATTACTTAAAATTCAATATTACAAGTAATTAATGTATAAGTACAACTTATTGAARCTCCATACTTGAATTTGTGTAACTAACTACAGATAAACACAATCAAATATTGGATAACCATTTCATCTTAAATATAAAAAATCTAAAAATATAAGTAGGATAATTATTATCTTCTAACAGAATATTTAATTATTATCGTTATACAAAATTATATTATTAAATCAAAAATAAATTACTTCCTTATTAAACCTAAATTAAATTATAATAAAAAATTTGAATTAAAGAAATTACACAACAAAACAAGAACTTTTAAATAGTTAATTTGAGACTAATATCGATATGTTTCTTTTTTTAATTTGAAGATATCTTCAAATATATATTTTATTTAAAAATAAAAGTATTATTGTTTTTCTCAAAACCACATAAAACCGTATTATAACATCGACAAGGGGACAAAATAAAACGAAACATTCAAATCGAGATGTATCTCGTTGTATTGCACGAGTACCATTCTAGTTGAATATAAACGTAAACAATATGAAATATCTTAACTTAAACGTGTGTAAATGTTTGATACTAAAATAGTAATACAATTGAACTAAAAAAGCATTAATTAATGGTGGAATATAATATAAGTTGCTAGTTAACATAAAATAACTTCAAATTGGGAAAACGTCTTAAATATGTCTAAACATTTAATACTTAGTACAAATATGACCAGACTAATAAAACATTAACCGTGCCAACGGAACTTCTAGTTGGAAAAGCAATATATGTCCTTTCTCTTTGACTGGTTAATGAGTCTTGGTCATGTGACTTCAAATTGTACCGTTTGGTTACTGCAACTTAGCTTGAGAGCTTTATCTTGCAACCCTCTATCATTATACGTGACTTGCATGGCTAGTAGGCCAGCTTGCCCACATGACTTGAGCCTGCCTG